AGGGTACCTTTATTACCATTGCTGAGCAGCACAACATTCTTTCTCGAGATGCCTATAATCTCATGAACATGCATGTCAGGAGGTTTATGCGTGCCATCGGTGATTATGACGAAGAAGACAATTGGGCTCCAAACTTTGCCACGATCAATATGCCAGGCAATGGGATCCAGCCTGGACCCGGTGGTCAACAAGTAATGGCTGGACAAGGTCTCTTAATCCCACCTGTTACCAACCAAGTCTTGTGGACATGGGCATACAAGCTCGTGTCCAACAATCCTACGCTGGAGAATGTGGTAAGTGTATATGCTTTTTTTTATCACCTCACCAAAATCTAATGCCATTTGGCATCTGAATAGGATATCACAAGCCAAGACCCTGCTGCCCGAGACTTGTTGAATACATACACAAATCACTTTCAACCCATGCAACGAAATGCACAAGGCAATGGTAAAACAAGATATCCGCTTTGCCCGTTACTGTGATTAGATGACTAATTTATTGTAATAGCACTCTACGAGCCACCTGCAATGTATCCGAGACTCCTCTCGACATTAAGCGAGCGCTTTGCAAGAGAAGCGGTGAGAAGTAAGTGACAACAAAAAAGCCAAAGTTTATGCTAAGCTTTGACCGTTGATTAATCGCTTATCAACTTTTAAAGACGTCAAGAACATGCTCTGGAGAAACATCCCTGCGTACGTTAGTCGACTGTGTGATGGGTACATCAAGCATATGGTTCAATCAGAAACAAATTTTGATGTCTACAACAATCTCAAGGGTTTGGGTAAGTACATCGTGTATGATTGATGATCTTATACCTATACTAATAACGCGACGTTCACCACAGCCCCTATCATGAGTACTGGTATCATAAACCACCAAGCAAATACACCACCACAATTGGCACCAGCGGATGAACATTATTTTACCCAATTTGTTGACGTCTATCAGTAGGTGTTACTTGGAGATCTCTTTGCTTACGTATATGCTGACGCTATTGATATAGAGAGATACATCAAGCTTGTGAACGGCTTCTCGCTGATGTACCCCTGGTGGAGATGCAAAGTACACCAAGTCGAGGCCTTGGCCCGGTACTGGCCATGCGACTGATGAGATTTAGCATGTGGCTATTGTTGCAAGCCGATGGACTCGATACCAGGAGGTGGTCTATATTGCCATTGGGAAAAACCCAAGTTGGGTTTTTCGGTATCGATTTGCGTATGCTTTGGGCAATCCTTCATTATGCACGTGACCAGGATCAAGATGCTTTGGTACCAGCCATATGTCTAAATCAGGTATGTTGATAAGGTGTACTATTTGCCATTGCCATTTCTAATATCTTTACATTACAATTAGCACGGCAATGTCTTAGCAAAACTTCCATTTGATGCAACACTTCAACCACCCCGGCAGAAAGAACTTTTATGGGAAGCGTTATTTAATATCGATTACGTCCAACGCCGTAGGTGGCGTTACTCTGGTAAGCATGTTGGCTGTGGAAATCAAGGTAAATACTAACGTATCAACTTATGTATAGGCGAATTACCTGGAACTGCAATACGATTTGCTCATTACATCCGTACCGATGGCTTTACAGCCAATGTCATGTTTGAAAGACCTCAACCAAGAAACCTGCCACGTATGTACTTTTAGCAGAAGCACGCTAAATCTTATGCTCACTTTTCTGTTATAGCCTTTTTCCCTGAAATTGCCAAGACGGCTCGTCGCGAGGTGGCGAATAATGCTGATTTGGCTAATATCCACACGGGGATATACATGCTCAATAAGGCCCCTCAAGGATTGAATCAAGTTCGCCTTCAGAACAGCCGACTCGTGGGGATAGATCCTGGTAAGTTATTTATAAGGATTTATCAGACTACGTTTGTATTGACATATATATTCTATTAGGAAAGCGCGAGTTTATCACCGGGATTCATCATGAAGAAACCTTAGAAGTACAACCAGGGGAGAATCCACCAAGATTGAGCGCTGTCGAGATTCGATCAAGGCATTATCAACATGCAACGATGGTGCATTGGGTTTACAAGCACACGTTAGCCAATCGACAAAAAGCCAATATGCAAGAGGTCTACGACCAGCTGGCGCAAGAAAGCCCCAATGTACCAAGATTGAATCAATTCAAGGCACATGTTGCCTGTGTGAGCCGCAACAGCAATAGGTTGGTAAATTTTATGGCGTGTACTATGATTGGTATTGACAATATTTATCTATTTCAAAGGCTGCGAGACTTTTCCGCCCACTTCAAGCATAGGATCACTCGAGGGATTCTTTTTTCTGCACGTCAATCATACCAACAAGTAATGATCAATGAGATTTTGGGAATTTCTCCTCCTGATTCACCAGTAAGTTAAATTTGCTACATGCAGATTACTATTGCTATGACCATGAACTCATTTATTATCATTTCCTTTAGAGAGAGCAAGTCATGTTCATCAATAGAACCTCTAAAGCAAAAAGGAGAGGGATGCGGAGGTTCAGAAGACGAGACATCGGGTGGCAACGGCCTGAGCAAGAAACGATTGTTGCGTATGGAGATGCCAGTCTTGGGCATATGCGTGGTTATGCGCCACTTCCCCATTGGGTAAGCTACATTGATAGTTGTTTTTCTCTATGCTCATCTATATCATTTATTGTGTAGGAGTTCATCAAAAGACTTTGCAGACAGGCATTGGTCATTTTCATCGATGAATTCCGGACCAGCATCACCTGTCGACATGATGGCGCAAATTTGCATCTTTGCTATGACAATCGACGGCTGCATTGCAACCATAAGTATGTGGGGACAAGAGTTTCTTTTCTTTGTATATACTAATAGGCTCTTTTATTCAAAACATAGGAAGACGAGGAATCGGGTACAGACTGCCCAAGGTACCAGAGGTCGGAAAGTGGTGCATTGCAAGGACGACGATGGTGCAATGATTGGCCGGTCGAACCTATGCCAGCAGCGTTTTGCAGTCGGTAGGTTTCTTTGGTCGTACAAGGAAGATCGTTGTTCAGCAATTGACATGACGTTGGTTAGGCAACAACACTTGGCGCAATCTGATTTATGCGGTGAAGCGTTGTAATGAGCACGGGGTAAGTTCCTTGTAGTTTTGTGAAGCACTAGCTAATATATGGTTGTCTATAGTTCTTAGGCAGAGATGTCAACGCTGCGGCTCAAATGCGGTCCGTATTAAGATTGTATATGGAGACCAATGGAGATCTGCAATCTCGTCCCCTTCATCTTAGAAGATAGTCCCTTGTCCCCCCCCTCTGGTCTCAACATACGTGACCGAGTTTTAGATTTTTGGTTGTTGAATAAATAGCCACCCCACATTGCGAACATTATTCGGCACATCCCACACCGCCTTTTCCGACAGTTGGCATAGCAACAGCAACAACAGCAACAACAAGCAGCGGCACATGTCCATTTCAGTAAAAGGGATATCGGTTATCGGTGCGAGGCAATCACCTATTGTATTACTAGTATCAATGATGATGATCATTATCGAACCCATGAACAATCACATGTGTGACAATGGGTCGGTGTATGCACCCATCTATAGAAAAGGCAATGTAATAATAAAGCCCAATGCATATGACTTTTTAAAAAAGGAAGCACTAGGGAATAATGTGGTCTAAGAATCAAATGTTCTATTCATTATAAAGGAGAACGCATGATAGATTCAAGGTTCATCCGACAAAAGATAAAGAGATCCATGCAACTCCAAAGCTAGCACTAAATGATTTGTGCGTTGAGTTGATTCAGGAAGGTTGCACAGCCGATTGTATGTGGGGAAGGTGAGATAATAAAATCCAACACTTATGCAAGATAAGGATTGGACCAAAAGATGATCAGAAACCCACCATTAAGGTAAGCACAGCTGCTTCCGTGCATCCGAGTGCCGCCAGCCTGGATCACAATGTTATGTATTATACCCAAAGGCGTATGATGATTGGTGCTTTGAGCCAATGTACCCCTTCTTTCATCGCAAAAATCCTTCCCCCTTGAACAATCCCTGGGTAGGCATTATAGGGAGAAGCATATCCTTAGAGGTAAAAAAAAGGGAGATGAGATTCTGGGGGCCTCTAAAGATGTAAAAAGAAAAAGCGAGGCTCGCACCAGTTGTGCTTTACACATTTTTTGTTTTATTCCCAAACATGGTAGTTTATGTTCCCGAGCTGTGTCAAGAGCTTCTTTTACGTCAAAAAAGGAGCATCGAGGGGTGTGATGTAGAAGGTCTTTGTTATAATTAATATATCACTTAAACAGGTTGTCAATCAATGCCCGCCCACCACATCGCCTTGCCTAGACTCGGTGGGCTATAACACGTGTCCCAATGTTGTGCTGTGCATGTGTAGCCATACTGTACTCGCATTACCACATGGTCTGTGTATTTGCTAGGCATAGTGATAGGATGATTAGGTGCTAGAAAATGTGAGCTTCTTCTCGTATATGGCTGTCATTTGACCATGGCTTGTTAATTGAACCATTGAATGTAGATCCGGCATATACATAATGAGAGGGTCAACTGCTGCACGTACTTAGCGTAACAACAAGGCGGGGTACTATACTCCCGATGAAGGCTGTCAGGGACAATGTGTATTGTGGCAGGTGAAAGGATTCTGTGTTGGAGACAGCAACAAGCCAACGAGCACATGGATGATAGTTGATGTACTGCCAATGAGATTTCTCATCAGCCATGGTCATCAAGGAGCGAACAGATTTGATATTGAATATCCTCCATGGTTGAATAGTGGATCCGCGGAAAGATGCAGGCCTGGTTACGGCAAATCACCAATCAGAACAGCATTACCGCATCTGAGGCACTTTTTCCACAACACTCCCACCACCTCTTACCCCCACCATCATTCGGTTCGGTTCCGTGTTATGAATGGCCCACATAAAAAACTATTTTCAATATTTAAACCAACCACATGCTGATGCTTTCTTTTTTTCTTTTTTTTCTTTTTCTGTTTTCCCTTTGCTTGTCAAATACACCATGCCGAGAAAATCCACGTCGTCAACAGCAGCTACCTCCGCTGAGCAGCCGCTAAGACGCAAGGTCACATTGGCATGTATGGTGTGCCGCAAGAAAAAAGTGAAATGCAACGGCGTACAACCAGCTTGTTCACGATGCCAGACAATGGGTTTACAGTGCCAATATTCGGATCCCCCCAAGAAGCGTGGCCCACCCAAGGGGTATGTGGAAGTTATCAATAGCCGCGCTCGTAGAATCGAATCACTTTTAAGTAACTCAGGAGGTAATTGTTTCGCACAAAGCGCATGATTTAGTCAATGCTCACGTTATCTCATCTTGTAGTTTATCGTCCGATGATGACCACCAACCAAAACAATAATATCAGCAATAGCAATAACAACGACAACTCATTAACAAAAGAAACAACAACAACAACAGCAACAACAACGACGTCTTATAACCGCCAACAGCCTTCCAATGATATCCTCAAGTTTGTGGCTGATTGTGTGCCTACAACGTTCTATCAACAAATGAATACCTATTCGCCTGTACGTTTCTTGTTGCAGCACAACCGCTAGCGGTAGTGCTAAGGGGGGTTTAAATGTGATGGGGTAAAAGACACAGACCACTGATAAGGTCCTTCTATCGATCCACCTCTAGGACAGCCACACACCTTTGTACGACTTTTACCCGAATGATGATGGCATGATGATGAACATGATGATGAACAACGACGACGAACCAGCAGCAGATTTGATGTTGGCCTGGGTGGATAGTTTCTTTACGCATTTCAATGTGTTCTTTCCGATACTTGCACGCCAACATTTCCTGCATCAACTTGTGCATGAACGTCAAGGCATAGATCCACTTTTACGAGGAGCTGTGTATGCGTTGGGATGTCATTTTCTCAATCCGCATGATCGCACGGGCCGCTTGTGGTACGACAAATGCCAAGCGCTGATGCTCTCGACCAACATCCATATGTCCCATGATGTACCCAGTCTACCTACAGTGCAGGTGAGCTTTATTGGTTCTTTTTACAAATAATGCAAATGTCACTTATAGAACGTTTTTCTTTGCATGATAATAGGCTCTCGTGATCATTTGTTGGCACTCGTATCTCCTTGGTGACTTGCGTCAATGCTATACTATACGCCAACATTTAGCCCATGCAACGGGTGCCCTTGCAATGGTGCAGGGTCACACCAACAAAAATACTACCGTTGAGCAAGAGCTTGTGCGCCGTGCCATATGGGTTGCCCATGTGGTTAACCAATGGTTGTCGGTGTGTACAGGTGACCATGTTGTTTTTGGTTCTATTGATGGATGCCCATTACCAAAGCTTGAAGATTGTCAACTTCACGCCATTGATTGTCGCATATTACAACCACCGATTGTAGATGCAGCACCTACAGTGGAGTCAGCGTTTCAGGTTGCCGTGTTCTCCGAAATGGTTAAGCTTGCTTCAATTGTTCAGCGTGCCACCACTTTTCAATCCGTCAACAAAAATGAGATTGCCGAATGGTTATTTAACCTACCACCTTATCTCGATTGCAGCATCCACACCGACACAAATCGCTCTACTACAGAGGCACCATCACCTGTCGCACGAATTTTTCACATGTTGTACCACACCGTGCTCATCATTCTCAATCAACCTGATATCGACACCAACGTAGAAGCACGCAGCATATGCTCAACTTCAGCCAATACGATCATCCACCTTGCAGAGCAAATGACGGCTAATTCACCCGATCAAAGCATTTATCTTTATAATGTCTTTGGCTTATCAATCACGTTGGCAGCTACCATTCATTTGCATCTTGCGCGTTCTTTTGATCCACGCATTCAATGTCCTGCAAAAATCAATCTTGGAAAAAGCATGCATGTGATACGTAATGCAAATCCCACAACCATGTCGCATTTGCCTGCATTACTAGAACAACATGTTGCTTCACGTTATGCCATTTATCTCGGCCAAGAAAACAATAGCCAACAAGAGGATGATGGTCAACGACAGCAAAAACAGACAACATCCGCTGCTTTTGATGCGCCAGATGATGTGAACCAATCGCATTGCCGAAGTTTCAAGCGACCAGCAGACGAAATGGAAGAAGACAACTCCTTGCTCAATTATCATTTACGACAAGGCAAGCGTCCTTGCGTGTTTGATTTCAATAGCTGGCTCCCTCCTGAGCAGGAACAACAACATCAGCAACAACACGCAATCATTACTCCAGGCTCAAGCACCAGCACTTTGGATGACACCGCCAGCTTGATTGATCTCTTTTCAATCCCTGGTTGGGAGCAACAACAACACACATCACCCTTTTCCATTGATTCAACATCACCATCGCTGTCACCACAGCCCGATACAACACCATCACCAACAGCTACATGCTTCTCACCCGATGACTCGCCTCCGTTGCTTTCCATGAATCAGCTCCATGGCTTGATAAAGCAAGAGAACACCGATTTACTACTACTAGATAACATCTATCTACCGGTCACTGATCTCATGTGAACGGATGTTCTCTCTTTCTCTCTCTCCCTTTTCCTTTACATATCGGCTGGTAATTTTGATTTCATTGCATACCACATTATGACATTCAAATACCCCCCCCTCCCCTACTCTTGTTATATTCCATCACCCCCACTGCCATCTTTTTTTTTATTGTGTATATGCTTTATTCTTCTTCATCTTTCGGCTCATTATTATTACCACTATTACCATGTATGCACCCTATGCGACTCCATATAGACCTTTGTTTCTTATGAAACCTCATAACTCGACGATATGCAACCAACCTTCAATAAAACCAGTGTGGATCATGCGCATAACATAGATCATGCAATAGCATCCAGCGACATTTTCATCATCGTACTTCCGAGCCTGTTTTAGTAGCAAACAAAGATAATGTACCTCAACAGCAGCTTATTGTAAAAGGAAGTTCTCATGTAAAGTGGTTAATGCTTGTTTGGCAGCATGCCGTAACCTCTATGCGCATCTAAGAGCTTATGCCGCAACACATACGCCCATCATCGAAATACACTGGGTCACGAAAACATGATCAAGAAAAGCATTTAGCAGCTCACCGCTCACACCCCCATTGCTAGCCAATCAAATGACTCCTTCATGTATTGAAATGATCCTTGACAATGAAATTGGATACAATGAATCCAGGGCTATTCTTGATAGCAATTTATAGAATCGTAATCACATAAAAAAGAAACTTGATTGTACTTTGGGGATCTCTTGTACTACGCTTGTTGGGAGGGGGAGTCCTTTGTACGAAGGCTAATGTAAAGTGGTATGAATGATTTGGGAAATGGATTGTGGATATGGATCAAGAAGACTGGATGACAAGTGTTAAGAAAAAAGGTTTACTCAAGCAGGACGACGCATGATTTCAAGGTCAGTGTGTATGTTGTACAACGTGTTCCTGATCATTATGGTTCTCTACTACTGTCATTGCTCTCCGCAACCACAACCAGGACCGCCGTTCCCTTTTTTCATTCTCTTTCTTTTGTCCCTTCCCGAGAACACCAATCGTCGACCCATTCACGACCGCAATGGCATCAGAAGCACTCTCGCCTCATGTCATGCAAGCTCTGGAGGTGTATACCAAGGGTACCAAGGCCTGGTTCGAGGATGACAAGGAAGCTTGGGTGTCAGCATCTGTCAAGTCAAAAGAAATGACTGACACGAATGTTCGCATTGTATTCCAAGACGATGAAGACGAGTCCCGTGTAAGCCAACGCGTATATCCAACAACAACCATATCCGTCATCCTCATATCGTTTTCTTTGATAGGAACATGTCTATGAATCATCCTTGAAGATGCTGGAGAAATCACAGGGTGCTGATCTACCGCCACTCAGGAACCCACCCAAGATGGAGAATACGGATGATTTGACAAGCTTGAGTTATCTCAATGAACCATCAGGTAAAGGAGAAAAGGAGGATGAAGGGGATGTGTGAGTGCTTGTGCATGTTAAGGGATGATGTAAAGATTACAATGGCTTATCTCAAATCACATATACAGTCTTGAATACTATACGCACACGATACATGCAACACAACATCTACACGTATTCCGGCATCGTGTTGATCGCAGCCAATCCATTTGCCCGTGTTCAACTCTATGAGCCCGACATTATCCAACAATACTCTGGAAGACGACGTGGCGAACTCGAGCCTCATTTGTTTGCTATCGCTGAGGATGCCTATCGATGCATGATCCGTGAACAAGCAAATCAAACGATTGTGGTATCAGGAGAAAGGTATGGATGTATAGCGGGATCTTTATACACGATATGCTTATCGGTGTTTTGCAGTGGTGCAGGAAAGACCGTGAGCGCCAAATACATCATGCGTTATTTTGCAACAGCCGATGACAAGGAGACAGTTGGCAAGATTTCCAAGGATAGTGGTGCTGGTATGACAGAGGTGGAAGAACAAATTCTTGGTAAGTACTACTGCTATAGAGCGATGATGGCTATATGGATGCTGATTGGGGGTATTAGCCACAAATCCCATCATGGAGGCCTTTGGTAATGCAAAAACGACAAGAAATGACAATAGCTCCCGGTTCGGCAAATATATCGAGGTAAAGGATGGTAAAAGTGGTGTTATCCTTGAATACAATAGCTGACAACATTTTGCTTTCTTATATGTGTAGATCCAATTTGACCAAGGTTGCAACATTGTTGGTGCCAAGATCAGAACATACCTTCTCGAACGATCCCGTTTGATCTTTCAACCAGAGACTGAACGCAACTATCACATCTTTTATCAGGTAACAAGGGAATGAGAGAAAATGGGATATCGAATGGAAATCTAATGTATGTGGAAATGGGTAGCTTTGTGCTGGTATTCCGTTATCAGAGCGCAAGGAATTCGACCTTAAGGATTGGACCAAGTTTCATTATTTGAATCAAAGTGGCACTGGCACAGTCCCAGGGGTTAATGATGCTGAAGAATTCGAGCTTACCAAGAACTCCTTGTCGATGGTTGGAATTTCGCTACAGACGCAGTGGCAAATCTTTCGTCTATTATCAGCATTACTTCATATCGGCAATATCGAGATTGGTGGACGCAACGATGCCATGCTTTCAGATACAGAGCCTTCATTAGCTATGGCCACGAAGTTGTTGGGGATCAAAACAGCCGAATTTCGAAAGTGGATCGTCAAGAAGCAAATTGTGACGAGATCAGACAAGATCATCAAAAATCTCAGCCCAGCACAAGCAACGGTGGTACGAGATTCAGTGGCCAAGTACATTTATGCAAACCTATTCGAATGGCTTGTCAGCGTCGTCAACGAGAGTCTATCATGTCAAGAACCTGGAAGGGCGAGTACTTTCATCGGTGTCCTCGATATTTATGGCTTTGAGCATTTCAAGAAGAATTCATTTGAGCAATTTTGTATCAATTATGCCAATGAGAAGTTACAGCAACAGGTAAATTACATTACTTTGATCATGCTTGCATTGTTTAACTCATTGCCCTGTATCCTAGTTCAATCAACACGTGTTCAAGCTTGAACAAGAGGTAAAGAGGAATCAATGTATGGAAGAACGAGCAGGCTTTATTCATTCGAATGTTATAGGAATACGTGAGAGAAAAAATCGATTGGCAGTTCATCGACTTCAGCGACAACCAAAAGTGTATTGAGATGATTGAAGCAAGAATGGGTATCCTTTCTTTGTTGGATGAGGTAAAATGAGCCTATTCGTGGAGTGTGGCAGCCCTGATTAAGGAGTGTATGATTGTTGCAGGAATCTCGTTTACCATCGGGCACAGATCAAGGATTTTGCGACAAGCTCTTTGCCAACTTTGCAACCCCTACCTACAAAGGCTATTTTAAGAAGCCCCGATTCAGCAATTCAGCATTTACAGTCGTTCATTATGCCCATGAAGTACAATACGAAGCGGAGGGATTCATTGACAAGAACAAAGACACCGTTCCCGACGAGCACCTCAACCTTTTGCAAAATGCTGATTCCGAATTCCTTGTGGAAATGCTCCAAACAGCTACGGCAGCCGCTGCTGCTGCAAGTGCTGCAGCTCCAACACAAGTGAGTGTTCTTTGTTTATGATTATTTGAATGAACGTGTATGATAACACTTTTTTATTTACTAGTCAGGTCCCAAGCGGATGAATGCTGCCAAGAAACCCACATTAGGCTCCATTTTCAAGGTAAGCAAAAGAGGATATGGCATGGACTCATTATCGTTTATGCTGAATGGATTATTTTTGTTACATTGCAGCTCTCGTTGATTAGCTTGATGGATACTATTGGCCAAACCAACGTGCATTATATTCGGTGTATCAAGCCAAACGAGGCTAAGGTGTCTTGGGTGTTTGAACCAAACATGGTGCTAGCGCAATTAAGGGCATGTGGTGTTCTCGAGACGATTCGAATCAGCTGTGCAGGATATCCTTCTCGATGGACATTTGAAGACTTTGCAGAAAGGTGCAGCAGCCTATTTATTCTTATTTCTCATACGAAGATGCTGACAATGATTCGAATAATAGATACTACGCATTGGTGAGCTCGAAGCATTGGGATCCAAAATTGCAACCAGATATCCGCAACCTTTGTACCGTTATTCTCGATGGATGTATCAATGACAAGGACAAGTACCAAATTGGTTTGACAAAGATCTTTTTCCGAGCTGGCCAAGTAAGATATCTACTATTGTTTGTATCACAAGATAATGCAATTAACGAGAATTTATGTATAGCTTGCATATATGGAAAAACGGCGTGCCGACCGATTCAATGAATGCGCTGTACTCATCCAAAAGAACATGCGTCGCTACATCACAAGGAGGGATTACCTGCTTATGAAGGATATCACTATGCGGCTGCAGCGGGTTGCGAGAAAGAGTATGGGAATGAGGAATTTGCTATTGTTACGCCAAGAGCGGGTTGTGTTACTGATCCAGACTCATGCCCGTGGATATCTTGCCAAGCGGCGAATGGATGAACAACGCAATTTCCTTTCACGTGTGCAAGCTGGTAGGTCTATCAAACGATTGGATATTGTTTATTTGTACATGCATGATCTAACTCTCGTATGCTACAGCATGCCGTGGTCATTTGGCTCGCAAAGCATTTGGCAACTTTAGAGAAACGAACGCTGCCACCAAGATCCAACGTGTTTTCCGTGGATGGTATGTATAAAGCAATTATCAAAGGATGATGGTATAATTGACATCATGTTGTTAATAGGTCTGCAAGAAAGCGATATCAATCGCAACGAGATCACATTGTTGCTGTACAAGCACGTATTCGACGACGACAAGCTCGCAAGGCTCTTGGTGTTCTTCGCAGTGAGGCACGATCAGCTACGCATCTGAAGGAGGTCTCTTACAAGTTGGAGAACAAGGTGGTGGAGCTTACACAAAGCGTGACACAGCAAAAAGAAGAGAAGAAGGCGATGCAAGCTCAACTTGAGTCTCAACTACAATCATGGATCGACAAGTATGAGAAGATGGAAAAGAGAGTGCGTCAGCTTGAGCAAGACCTCCAAAACTCCAAAGCTGCTGAGGAAGCGTTACAACATAGCCATGAATCGTTACAACAAGATTACAACACTCTTCTTGCCAAAAGTGGAGAACATGAAAAGGAGAACAGCCGTCTCAATGCAGAAATCACCAAGCTACGAGAGCAATCTCAACAGCAACAACAGCAGCAACCACCACTTCGAGTATCTACAACACCAACAAATGGTCGAACAACATCATCATCTGCTTCAACTCAACGCGTCGAAGAGGATGCCAACATCAATGAACTTAAGAGCCAAATTGCAGCCCTCAAAGCACAACTCAAAAACAACATCAATGGGCCACGACGACAACCATCCGTCAATAACCTTAGCAACCGCAATCTATCACCTGCTGCACAACAAATGTCACCTACTGCCAATGGTCGAAGAGCCGTATCACCTGATCGCATGAATAACAATGGCCGTGTAAGATCATCTTCCCGCCGTAGCAGCCGTGCTGAGCAACAAGGCACAGTGACTTATGCCAATCGTGAGCAAATGCGACCCATGTCAATCGATCAGTCGGATACGCTACGTGAATTGGATGTTGGCAATAACCCTGAGGAAGCGGTATGTGCAATGACACATGATGAACTTAATGATGTGATGATTAACTTGTATACCTTATAATAGATGCGTGCTATCCTTTTGAATGAGGAAGCTTTGGAAGAGGAGATCCTTGAAGGTTTAATCAGGTCACTCAAGATCGTTCCCCCCAATGCACACGAACCCCCGTCGTACAAGGAGGTTGTTTTTCCTGCACATATCATTGGACTAAGCTTGACACAAATGTGGCGCTATGGTTACCTCCCTGAATCAGAACACTTGATTTTTACGGCTATGGATACGATTCAAAAATATTGCTTGGTAACAAAGATGGTGATGGTGGGTTGGCGTGCACGTGGTAGTGATTCTAAAGCATTTTATTATAGAGTTTCTCGAATGAAGAGAGCATTGTGCCATGCGCATTTTGGTTGACCAATACACACGAGTTGCTATCATTGGTGTGTTCTACAGAGCAAGATTTGGAGCGTGAGATGCAATACAATTCGGTTCACGGGCGACGCACGGTTGGGTGGCACGAATTTGAGAAGCTTGTCTCCACACTCAAATTTGAGTTACAGTGCCTAGAGGACAACATTTATCATCATTGGTTGACTGAATTGAAGCAAAGGCTAAGCAAAATGGTCGTCCCTGCCATCATTGAGAATCAATTGCTACCAGGCTTTGTGGCAAACGAGTCGAATCGCTTCTTCAACAAGATGTTGGGCAACTCGCAACCTACATTTTCCATGGATGATCTCCTCAACTTTTTGAATCGGGTCCATTTGGCTATGAAGTGTTATGCTGTTGAACCTACAGTGGTGGAACAAGGTCTTTCTGAGTTGCTCAAGTTAATCGGCATTACCACATTCAATGATCTTATTATGCGACGCAATTTCAACTCTTGGAAACGAGGCAAGTACCCGTATCATTCCCCAACAACAACAACCCATGTCATCTTTCCCATGCCCATCAACCCACCAACTTGTCCTCCCCCAACATACCTCATCAGCATCAAAAAGGATTTAACCTAATTTGCGTTTATACTTTGTTACCTTGTAGCCATGCAAATCCAGTACAACATTACACGACTAGAAGAGTGGTGCAAAGGACTTGATATGGCCCATACTATCAGCCATTTGGAGCATCTCAAACAAGCCGTCAAGTTATTACAGCTGAAGAAGGCAACAGCGGAAGATGTGGATATCATTTACGATGCATGTTGGCTGTTGACCCCGACTCAGGTGCAGAAGCTGATACAAAACTACACTGTGGCTGACTATGAAGATCCCATCAGCAATGATATTTTGAAATCGGTAGCATCAAGAGCCAACGGCAGCGACCACACCGATATTTTATTACTGGATAACGTTTCCTTGGATGATAGTCCTTATGAAGTGCCTGAACCGCATCCTGAAATTATTGCAAGCACCTATATCCCCACCTATGTAAGCATGTTTATTTATGATATTTGTATATATGATACGCTAACACAAACGCGTTTTGCATGTATAGCTCGATCTGAAACAAGTCAAACGTTTAATGGCACTTGCTGCACACATGAACTGAGGCTAGCAGTATTTAATTCTAGAAGCTCCCCCTCTCGGATTGTTATTTCTGCCCAAAAAAAGCAAGAAAGAATGTATAATAGTATTTACAAGGAAAAAGGAAAAAAAAGTGAAAGTGTCAAAGTGAATGAGGGATATACCAAGCTCTACACCAAACCTGTGGGAGGTGGATGATGGCGACGGGCTAGCATTTCACTGGGAGAAGGCAATTGAATGGCACTTGTGGCGGAGTGGTGATGGTGATGGTGGTGAAAATGATGCGAAGGTGGTGAGCGAATAGCAGGTGGTGGTGGTAAAGAGGATGATGATGATTGAGATGATGGTGATGACGAGGAAGAAGAACAAGATGAAATAAACTGCTGCATAGGTTGCTGTTGGGTCGCCTGCGTGGCCAACAGATCCAAATTACTTTCCCCTCTAAGATCATGGAACGAAGCCCATTTCCTAGGTTGAAGCAGCTGATCAGCAAGACCTGCTGATGGAGAAGGCCATGGCGGGGGTAACTGAAGAGCTTTACACGGGACGGGCCGATGAAGTTCGGTCACTGAACGGCAGGATCGGATGACAGGTGAATGTTGTTGACGCAAAGATGGCTTTGGTGTACTACTCCTTGATGAACAACATGAAGATGATGAATCCATTGGTTGTTGTTGTTGTTGTTGTTGCTGTTGTTGTTGTTCATGTTGATGATTGGCAAGTGCTGTATTGCTATTAGAGCGTCGTTTCTTAATCACCCTGTGGTGTGGAGTATGATTCGTTATTGTGGCACCAGGACCGGTGGTAGATACCGTGTCTTTGAGAGCTGACCGCCGTTGCCGGGATGCAATGATGGCTTGTTGTTGCCGTTGCGTCTTGAAAGTACCCAAAAAAGAAGCACGTAATTTTTGATCGTGATGATAATCACCAAACCATGAAGCAAAGCGAGACCACATATCGGATGAAGAGCTTTGTTGCTGTTGCCTCATGCCTCGCCATAATGGATGATGCGATAGTCGTTGCATAAATGAAGCCAATCTTTTGTTTACATAGACACGTGGTTGTAATGAGTAAAGGTTGTGTGGCAAAGGAAGAGAGAAAGTCGATTTCATTCCTCCCCCAACATACATTCCCCTCCTCCTCATCCCCTTTCTTATCCAACCCCTTGAATGGAAACATAGCCCTTACCGTTGTTCCTCTCGATGCAAGTCCCGAGTTATTGTTGTTGCATGATTTGATTGGTTTTTTTGCTTCTTATGATCACAACGTTGTTGATGATGAGTAAGCCACGAGTCGAAATGTTGCTGTTGTTGGTGTGGAGAAAGATGGCGATGATGGGACATCACGTGGATAGCATCCATAGGATGATGTACCAATCGCCCTGGTACAGCTGCAATGACCCCCAGACTTGCAAGTAAAGGGGCTGCAACGACACCGGCCATTAGTTCGGCAGGTGTCAATTGGCATAGCTCGGCAAGAGCTAACATATGGCGAGAGCGTGCAATAGGGATTACACTGTCAGTGAGCAAAAAGGAACGTCGTTCACAGGTGGTAGTTAATACATGATCGGGATGCAAATGGCGGCTGCTTAATGTATTGTATCCACCCAAAAGCGCGTTTAAATCTTCAACGCATAGGTATAACTTGCTATGATCATGCTGATATATACAAAACGGAGTTGGTGGTGAAGAGCCGTACTCCCCCAGTAGAATGGCTTGTAATTTCATAACCATAGTGTTTTCGAGGGCCAATGTTGTAAAACCGTGTTCTGTATGGTGGCAATAATGAAGGAGGAGCACTAACGGAAATATAAAGAGGAAAGAAAGAGGAATAAAAGGGGAAGAACGATAAGCAAAGCAAAAAGGGGGAGAAAGAGAGAATCTTTATTTTTGTGTCTCAGATGTTTATATAGAGTGCACATATTCATCCATCACCATTACCACCACCACTACCACCATGCTCTCTTTCTATGCATGCGTATACATGGCAAAATGCATCTGGGGCCATTCCATTCGTCCAACCGGAACTACTCCTCCAACGTCAAACCCACCCCCACTCCGTCCTTTTTTTTTCCTTCTCCTGCTCCTACTCCTTGTCTTTTTCCCCTTAACAATCTCTCTCATCAATGATCACTAGTGTGGCTTTCTTTTCTCTTTGATCCCCAAAAAATCGCATCATCCCTAATACTCCCCACCATAGGGAGATGAACATGTATGTCTATACATTTATACTTATGTGTGTGTGCATATGCCATGTTGATCTGCGATGGGGGGATCAAGTGCTGAAAGCGGAGAGAGGGAGAGAGAAAAGAAAGAGAGCTCTCTGTTATGAGCACCCCTTGATCGTTTCACATAGATACATCAGGACTCTTCCACGCGGGATAGAAGAGCAACATCACATGGCCATGTTTGTTCATCAACAATCTTTATTACCGCTCTTGAAAAGTTTCATATCTCTCTCTCACTCTCACTCTCCCCACACAAAATGTGCCTCGTTTGATTGTGTGTACATGCACACCTTTGTGCAACATGTTGCAACACACATACATCCATACATAAACACAAAACCACACGTTCTTATTACAAGCCTAAATGTCATACCTTCTAGCACCAGATCAACATCATTTAAAAAGGAACGGACGAATCTATATATTGGGGGGAGCGGTAAAAGCGTAGATGAAACATACACAGCATCACGTACGTATGTACATACGTATCCCATCATCCCACCATTTACAGCAACTCTGCCCATGAGTTAAAAAAGTTCCGCTAGCAACCCGTTAATCTTAAATCATTTACAACACCCCATGCAGGTTGCTATGGCAATGCAGCATGGCGTGAAAACGAAACCCATAATAGCCCTCAATACATACAATGATAAATGATGTCGTATGTATGCGTTGAAACATTTTTATGCTTTTGTTCCTGCAGGCACAAGTGTCTTTTATTGGTCTGTTGACAATCATTATGAATTACTGCTTGTATTCATGGATGAAACATGGTGTTGTACAATATGCCAATAGTCAGATGGTGTAATGTATCTCTCTAATGAGGCAAACCATGCTGGAAGGGGGATCCGCATTTGACAGCTGCATTGGTGGAGTTAAGCGCTGAGATAGTCGGGTAATTTTGTGGGCACTGAAAAGTGGGCCTCGCTTGACTCTATACTTGCTTTGTTCCTTGACACTGATCTCGCCTCCTACCCATTGCCTCACAATGTCGTCCGACGAAGAAGAATCCATAAGCTCAACACCACGCTTGCACAGCATGGCCGATGACGATAACTTGGACACTGAAGGTATTTGAAGATCATGGACCACAAAGACACGCGTTCACCCACACTCATTCAACCAACGCGTTGGACACACACACTAGATGCCACGTCGCTACGCAATTCACCTGCAATGACACCTACACAACGCCGAGCATCGTCGTCAATGACACTAGACATATCAGACGACAAAGCTGTAGACGACAACGATACCAAGACTTCGCCTATCCAACAACGCATTATCGACTTTTCGGTCAACCCTGCTGCTTTGAATTGCAAAACCTATGATTGTGTTCCATTGGTATTCAAGTGGATGAGGGTGGTTGCTCGTTTGTGATGTATGCTTACCATTGTTTTATGATACTTGGGGGTAGGTGGCTGCTCTTCATCCAGCACAAATTTATACTGTTGCGGCAACAAAGTGCTTCCGATGGGTGTTTACTGGAACCGATGAAGGATACATACGCAAATGGGATTTCTATGCATCGATGAATGGCAAATCAGCACTTACACAGGCTCAAAGACATCACCATGTCGACTCTGTAACCATGGTAAGTGTACATGTATGGAGGAATTGCCGCATACTTATATAGTGAGTGATCTTATAGTCCGGTGTGATATGTTCATGGTGGGAAAATGAGGAACAACCAGGTAAAGCAACATGCGTTCGATAAGATAAGGAAAAGGGTATTAAGCTTTTTCATTAGCGCCTGTCAAAACGGAGCCGTCTACAGAAGCTGGATCGACCGTGCCATCATCAGCATCCTCAGTTGGCGACGGCAACAAGCTATCACCAGTGTACAGCATGGATGTGCAATCTGAAGCTTTATGGGGCCTAACGGGTATGGAAAGCGGCAATATCAACCTTGTGACTATACGACATGAGGAGGGCAAGTGCCATCACGTTTTACGCAATCATACGGCACCAGTGTCTGTGCTGCAAATCACACCGCAAGAAACAGGCGTGATCAGTGGATCTTGGGATAAATCGGTTTTGGTAAGTGAATCATGTTATTTTATGTACATCAGCAAGGTTAATCTTTTGGGATTTAAAGGAATGGGACCTAAACACGGGATCCGTCGTTCGTAATTATGGTGGTCACAGCTCTCAAATATCATCAGCATCATTCCGACCCATATACAAAACGTCTTCCTCCAGCAATGAAGGTGATCTTGAAACGGACAAATCAACGACTGAGAAGGAGGACACCACCACCACCACCACCACAACAACAACAACAACAACAACAACCACTGATCAGCCATCATCGACAAAAGTATACGAGGAAAAGGATGAGAACATCTTCTTGACAACCAGCTTTGATGGTCAATGTTTTATCTGGGATCGGCGAGAACCCGAATCAGCTGTGAGGAAACTTGGATTACCAGATAAGACTCCTCCATGGTGCCTTTCGGTAAGGTTTATCACATGATCCCAGCCAAGCCCATTGATATTCATGGTGAAATTTTAGGCGTGTTGGAGTGCTGATGGATCCAAGGTTTATATGGGAAGGCGAAATGGTCAAGGTGAGCGGGTAAAAAAAAAGGTCATACCATAGCCATATCACTTATATTTGTACAAATGCAGTGGACGAATGGGACTATGCAGCACAAAAGTTGATAAGATCTTTCCGGATGCCAGCCAATTCTGGTCCTGTGTCTTGTGTGGCAAGTATGCCGAATGGGAAGCACATTATATGGTAAGATGCACATGTCCCATGCGTATCCATTTTCCTTTTTCACACTCATTTACCGTTACACGATAACCCACAGCGCTTCCAACGACAATGTGCGCCTCTGGAACACGGAGCTCGAGTCATCGTTCAATATATACCCTGAAGGAGCAGAAAGGCCGGCCAAGACATCCAATACCATCCCCTTTACAATTTTGCCTGGTCACCATGGTGGATGCATATCGCATATAGGTAAAAGGACTTTGTGAAGGAATAGCAACGAGTCACAGGCTAACAAGAAGGCGTATGATAGTGATTGACCCCACATGTCGTTACATGATTACCACATCAGGGAACCGAGGATGGGATGGTGTGTCCACCAACGCATGTTTGTTTTATGACATTGCTTCGATTGTCTGAAAAGTATAAACGCAAGCTTGTTTACGAATTGCACAATGCAACAGGCGATAGTCCCCACACATGATTGTACTCATGACGAATTAATGCGCATAACATGGGCTCCGCTATTGCTCACTTGAAAGGGTGGCATTAAACAAAGCTGCAATTATCTATACAGTGTACCCATTCCATAGAGATGAATAATGTATCATGACAAGCGAATAAAGGGAAGCAGTAACGAATATATTCCAAAATCATCCGGTACACAGTTGCATTTTATATTACCTTTTTATACGGAGCAACAAGTTAGCTGCTGCAGGCCAAGAGAAGAAGGATCAAAAAGCCCAACATGGTTGTGTGGGTTTGTTTTCTCTTTTTTACTTTCTTCCTTTCTCTCCCTCTCACACACACTCTAAGAAACACACACACACACACATATATACCACTGACAATGTCATCCACATCCAACCATAATCGCAACTTTGTATATTTTGAAACGACTCCACGAGCTTATTACGATCACTGCACAACAGCGACACCCAACTATGATTTATACCCAAGTCTATCCCGTAGAATGGGAAACGGCTACGTACATCGACCCTCTCGACCACCCGTAACGCATGCACAAGATCGACAAGTGAACTTTGCAAGTATGAATATCATACACCGAGGAGAAAGGCGAACGTGGTACAGCCCTCACCCACTCCTTGACCTGTTTTCACGATTACCGACCTCCGAGCATGACGATGACAGAACAAGGAGGACAACGGTACCCGGTCAAAATGATGATACCCACCTTCCACCATGGGATTTGTACCCCCTATTGCTTCGAAACGTAAAATAGCCACCCGATGCGTTGTTTTGTTACCCAATACTAATCGTGTTTGTTGTTTAGGTGGAAAACTTTGGTACCGATGAAATGAGGCAACGACTTCATCGTGCAATGACAATGGTGTAAACATCCAACAAACAATCATTCACAACAATGAGAGAAGCAAAAAGGTCTATTCTTTATATAAAGGTCAATATATATACATTCATTCGCATATCCAAAATGGTAGCTTTTGTTGAATAAAAGGGAGGAGTCAACATACACATGGATGGTGGTATATATATATACATCTAATGTAAGCCAATGTAAAATGAACCAGCAATTGATAAAGGCTTCACATGAATGGTGGTGGTGGTGGATGGATGACGGGTGGCACTGCTATCATCTGGTAACACCTAATGTGTATGTCTCTGATGTCTTGTATTGGCTTGCTGCGAGTGAGGTGGATGTGACCGAAGGGTTGCGTTTCAAGAGGTCTGTAAGGGTAGAGGACCATCGAGACTTGTTCCCTTGATGATTGTCAGAATCAAGATACACCCCGTCTCGGTAAACGCTATCGTAGTACTCGCGGTCATGCGATGCGAATTGCGATTGAGACAATCGTCGTTTGGTGTACTTGTTTATCTTGCGTAGGTCGTATTGTGTCTTGAGCTTTCCAATAAACCCCATGGTAACCACGCTCTTTTCCCCACAAGAACAAATGGGTGAGAAAAAAGTGAAAGAAGACGAGTACACAAGTATGCAGTCTCCGTGGAAAATATATGAAAACGGTTGCTGGTGGATGATCTTTTTAGAGTTTAACCGCAATGTGGCAACTAGTTTTTTCCGCAAAGCAATGCCGGAAGACGCATGATCAATTATTCTTTGTTCCGCTCTCCCCGTACAGTGTCAATTTTAGGAGGTGGGGTTTAATCTGCATATCACAAAAAGACATGTTCACAGTGAAATAGGGCTTTGTACTATGCTGAGCCACTTGACAACATGACTTTTGATGGTGAAATTTGGATACAGGTATATGCTTAAAAGATAACAAGGAGGCTAAGTTCAAGGGGTGTAAGACAAAGATTAGGGTGGTGCGCGCCGTATGATGAGAAGAAGCCCGCAATATCCAGTCGCCGCTTAATCCTATAAATTACTCGTGTTCTGTTGCCAAGAGTGTTACCGGGTTTTCCATCTTCTTTTCTTCTTCTCTTTTGCCATGAGCTACCAGCAGCAATATCCTCAAGGACAATACTACGCTCCACCACCTCCAAATTATCAAGGAGGCTATGCTCCTCCCCCGCCTCAACAAGGATACTATCAGCCGACGTAGGTTTATATCCATTGCGCCCTATTCCATATCAGTATGGATGTTCCTGAAAGCTGATTTTGTGTTATTGCATCATGTGCTTTACAATAGTCCTCCTCCTCAAACCGTTGTTGTTCAACAACCCCATCAACAAAACTCGGCTGCTGATGATTGCTGTTGTGCCTGGTAAGTTTGTTGTTTCATTTGAGCCGAGAAAAGGGATAAGAGAAAAGGGTGCACAAAGAAAAAAGGCCCGAGTAGTTTATTTTTTTCTGATTATGATCATTTGGAATAGTTTGGCTGGTATGTGTATTTGCTGTACGCTCGATGCACTATGTTAGGCGGCCCCGCATTATTACTCGTCCTTCGTACTATCACCACCAATGCAAGCATCCTATCATAAACCATTGCATTCGCCTCTTTGTCCGCTAATTAGCTACCTGCACATCCATTCCCTACTTTTCTCTATTGTCATACTAGTTTATTTAGAATCCGTAATCAAAGATTGTTGAAAAAGAAGTAGCGTGGTCATTTCTTTTTTCCCTATTAATAGTTGTGGCGCATGAGCTTGTGGTTGTGTGGTTGTGAGTGACACCATCAAATGCTTGGCAACGAATAAGATATGTGTAATCGGAGTAGTCATTGTTTCTCAGATGCGCGTAATAGGCAACCTGCTTCTTTGCTCCTCGGAGGTGGTGGTGGTGTGGAGGATGCATCATGTCAGCAAGCCTTTTAGGAAAAAAGCGTAAGCTACTTACTACCACTACTACTACTTGCAACCGCTCCCCTTTTCCATATTCAACTTTGCTCTTTTCCAGGGTCTCTTGAATCAGAAGAAAAGTCCATTGCAGCAAGCGATCACCCGTTCACATTTGTTCCTCCTCTTTCACCAGGCCAGAAACTCTTTGATCAACGCTATCTCAGTGCATCGTTTTCTCGCGATCAACGTACCTCTACCACACCTCCACATCGTGTTCGACGACGACGATCGAATAGCTCATTAAGGCAATCAGGACCCGTAACAGGAACGACGGCAACGACACAGCCACCAGCATGGTCGAATCAACAATCACGTGCTCAAAGTCGAATACCGGCTAACTGGGCCATGTATATCCCCATTGTCTACAATGCACTCGTCGCGTTACCCATATTATACATCGTATTCTTGGTCGTATGGACTTTTAGTAATGACTTTCAAATCAAATCAGAAGAGCATCAAGCAGGTAATTGGTATCATAAGACTTGTCAAGATCACTATTGACATACAATCCCATTTGAAATAGGTGTCTTGCAACAAGTGGCTTCATGTGCAAAGAACTATGAGATCAATCAATGTCATCCTTCATCCCGTGTACCAGCATTAGAAGACAAGTGCAATCATTGGGAAGCATGCTTGAATCGCAATCCATCCATGATATCAAGGCAGGTGAAATCATCTCGAATGATGTTCATTGTAAGCTAACATGGTATTCATTCAGGACTAAGATATTTGCCGAAATCGTTGCAGAGACATTGAATAGCTTCGTGGAGCCCATCTCTTACAAAGCAATGGTAAGGAAGGGAGGGAGAAGGTTATATGGGATATAGGGCTGACATCCTTGGTGATAGCTCTTTTTCGGTATTGTCATCGTTGGCCTCCTTGTCATCTCCAATTTCAATCTGGCAACATATTACAGGAAGCGATCAAGCATTCATTACTATCATCAACAACTACAAACATCAACAACCCCATCGACATCCATTTCTACAACAACACCACCATCATAGCATTTCCTATTCCCCCACCCAATTGAACTTGTTATTAGCATTGCCAACAGCTCATTATCATCTCCCAAATTTTGTACAAAATATAGATGAATGTGCGTATACCATGATGCATAACGACTCGGTTGATTTGAATTGTGTTTATCCCTTATCTATCTGACACCTCCCATTCACTCAATTGGTAACGTTCTTCTACAGCAATCGACTATAAGAGGCAACCGACACCTTTAGCATTCAAAGTCCTTTTTAGCTCAAACTAACACCCGTTGGGTCTCACGGCCTTTTCCCCCCTTTTCACCTTTACCCTTCAACTATGACAAAGTCCTTCACCGGTTCTCCTCACACAGTAAGCGATCGTTGTGTTTCCGTTGGGTAGGAAACGATAGACAACTAACAACGGTTGTCATGGCAGGACCAAGCATTGGCAGGTTTTGGTGCTGGCCTTGTATCCACTGGCATTTTGCACCCCTTGGACGTGATCAAGATTCGATTTCAAGGTACGTGACATTGCGATCTCGGTACTCTGATTGCTGGGAAGCCTGGGAAGGAAAAAGGACCAACAGCTGACTGTATGCATCATAGTGGATGCCGCTAAACGATCCGAGCAGCGACCTTTGATAGGTGGAACTATCAAGGCCTTCCGAGACATTGTGGCAAACGAAGGTGTTTTCCGTGGCCTTTATCGGGGAGTGACACCCAACATTGCAGGCGCTACTGCAAGCTGGGGATTCTACTTTTGGTGGTACGAGACATTGTCTATATTTTTATGGAAGCGGGATTGTACCTAATGATAACGGCATAAAACAGGTACAGTTTAATCAAGAAGCACATGAAGAAGGATGAGAACGGCAAATTATCAGCTATACAACATTTGATCGCTTCAGCAGAAGGAGGTAGGTCATAGGGAGATCGAGGGGAAAAGGGTATGTGTGTATTGATCTACCATGCCCATACCAGGTGCTTTGACGGCTTTCATGACAAATCCCTTCTGGGTGGTCAAGACTCGTATGTGCACTACTACTCGTTATACCCCAGATGCATACACCGGTTTGTGGGATGGTCTTAAGCGATTGGCACGTGAGGAAGGTATCCGTGGTCTCTATCGTGGTATGGTACCTGCTATCTTTGGTGTCTCGCATGGTGCTATCCAGTTCATGGCTTATGAGGAGATGAAGAAATGGCGTAATGATATCCGTAAAGAAGATGGTGTCTCTCCCAAAGAAGAGCAAGATGCAAAATTGAACAATACCGAATACCTTGTCATGGCAGCATCCTCCAAGGTTTTGGCAACCGTTACCACCTATCCCTATCAAGTGCTTCGTAGCAGACTTCAGGTACCTCGTTTTCATAATACGCATGCGTTCATTTATTCATGTAAATCATTTGTAGGATCGATCAACAAGAGATACCTATATGGGTGTGATGGATTGCATTCGAAAGATCTCAGCTGCAGAGGGATACATTGGCTTTTATAAGGGCCTGGCACCCAACATTATCCGTGTACTACCAGGAACCTGTATTACCTTTTTAGTATATGAAAACCTTAACCAATTCTTCAAGCGACATGCTACCGAATAATATAGACTACGATTTAATAAAGAAACCAAGTATTATGCATGTGTCTGCGTGGCTTTATTAAGGTAATCGGGTATGGTTCTCTATAAAAAGATACATCGAAAACTTTCATTGGGAAAGTTGTTGCATAAATGCATAGCCGACAACGGCCAAAATACATACAACGACAGGCATCCAGGCAACAGAAGATGACTTGGTGACGGCCTTCGAGGATGTATTTGCTTCGATCCACTGCTCGATCTAAATTATGCAAAAGGAGGATGAGTCAATGATCCATATGGCCCCCACTTGCACGTTTCTCAACTTACCCTGCCAACAGCGATCGAGATTTCCATAAAGTTGGGATCATCAGCCTCGTTCTTTTGAGAAATGACTCTAATGTAGTGTCTGAAAATGGCGACAACACTGTCCATGTCTTTGCTTGCGAGGATCAACTTGACAGCTTCACCCTTGCGGATCTTGATGTTGCGTTCAAAGACTTCCATATTGTTGAAAACGAGTGCGAGAGTGGCAATAGCCATGGTCTGAGGGATAGCGCAAAAGTTGAACACCGATTGATTGCGAAGTTGATTGAGATACGTCAAGACATCAGGGACCAAATCGAGGACATTAAGCACCATGGCGTTGAGACATGCACGTGCCTTGGCCTTGTTCTCGGGCTTGATAAAGTCGGAAAATTCGTCTGCATATTGACCCCAAATCTCACGTGGCCAGAATTGACGACCTTCTTCAAGATCTTCACGAAAGTCACGGATGATGTTGGTCTTTTGAAGGAACAAGCCCATACGATTTGAGAGATCCTTGTTTTCTCCTACTTGGGGTGATTCCAATCCTGAAGCCGAAAATAAATCCGAAAGACCATAGCCCACCAATCCAGCAACATAGTGGCAATAGAGGTTGAAATCAGCAATAGTCGCCACAGATGTATTCTCACGGTGCTCTCCTGCCGCATAATCCGCCATGCCATTGCCCATACGATGAGTGATGTCGGCAATCACTTTTTGGAACTTGTCATCCAAACGCAAAAACTCGTCAATCACCACATCAAAATGCACGAGTAGCTCACGATCCTTCTCATCCGGTCCACCTATTCACATGTCGGTTGTCAATGTCTTGTCATAAGCTGACGAAAATGATACGTACATTCATGGAATGTCCATCCACGCTGATAGATGATCTTATCAAAAGAACGAAGTACTTCAACTTTACGATCCAAAGGCAATGTCATATCGTCCTCAACAGTGTCCAAGCCTCGAAGTACAAGATAAAACAAGCAAATCTATGTGCTTACTGTTAGTGGCGGTTCCATATCAATCTCTCCTAACGCCGATTGCTGTCAAGGGTTCCGAGAATGAAAAAGGGCGCGTAAATGCGTACATGGATACATGCAACACCCACACACACAATACACAACCTCATCCTCTCTTGCAAGCTCACTCCCTCCAAGAAGAATACTTACAGCGTCGCGAAGCTGATCGTCCAATTCCTGAATGACGGCTGCAAAGCTACGAGAAGTCTAATAACAACGAGACGAATGAAGGTGTAAGTTAAGCACTCGTTGCTAGACAACACTATGATCGGTTGTACCTTATTCAGAAAGTAATAGCATCGGCGCTTGCTTTCATCCTTGGCCAAGTTCTCTTGATGGATCCGGATGTTTTCAGACTTGGGAGCAAACTTGTACGACACAAGAGCTTGAAGCTCGGAAGGGCGCGTAAGGGATTGGAGAATGGCACTCAACATGAGATGCAGTGAAGGATGCCGGAGAAGAGATGATAAAAGAGCAGCAAGGGAAGGTACAAAGAGTTCCTCGACAATGAGTTAAAAAGGGCACTCCGAAAATCCGCATTCATGGCCCTGCAGTGCTGTCATGTCCTCCTTCGATAAAAAATGCTCATTGCTTGAAGCACGATGCTTTCTTTCTATCAATGACCATACGTTATTCATATTAAAAATGACTCTGCTACCATCCTCTACGTCCCCATATCAATATGAAATACCCCCAAAACACTGAAAAGTAAAGGTTGAATAAACTATCTGGATCAAAGGACTACGCAGCTTTCAACAACGCTCATTCGTTATACTAAGGACAACATTGAATGGTACACTAAAAGATGTGTAGATGCGTGGTATCGCAGCGAAATCGACCTAGGCCATCATACGTAGCACTCTTGTCACAATGCAGATATAGCGTTTGATAGTCAACCATACTTCATAGCTTATGCTTGGATCAGTTGAGATGCTGGGGTTATGATTAAATCAAGCATGATGCATATCAAAGGAGGAGTACTCATTCTCTACTCATATTGTCCACATGTAATAAGCTCATCCAATACACAAAGTGATACTATCGGTAAAACCCTGCCGCTTTATTCGTTGCTAAGCTGTTGATATTCCTTTTCCTTTTTGCTATTGACAGCCATTCTCAAAAAGTCATGCACCTTCTCGACCGCAGTAAGGCATTTGTCATGGCATTCGAAATACTAAAGACAAGGTTAATACAATGATGAGAAAACGTGTCTGGATATCGCATACCTGTTTCTGAGAGAAGTCGCCTCTTGAGTCGGATAATAATATGTTAGGGGTTGCACTAAGGTTGTCGAATGCAAATGTGTGTACGGATGATGCGCTCTATAAACCCCATCCATTATTAGCCACATGTCTTGATACTGAAAGACGAGGGATGTGATGGAGTTACCTCGAGTTCTTTGGTTGTTGGATCCATGACAATCTCATTTGTGGTACGGTCTATCATGCAAGACATGGATGCAATCATGAAATTCATTGGGACACCGGCATCCACCAACGCTAAGCTCATTGCATTTAATGATGCAGCGATCGCCTACGCATCCATATTAGCATAGCTATCCTCATGATACAACATTTCCATATATATACTTTACCGATCCATCATCCTTCAAGATCTGCACGACGATTTGTATAAGGGTTCGAGGCATCATACCACCAAGAATAACAGGTTCAATGGCCCTCCGTAATGTTTGCTCCATCAACTTTTCCTTTGTCGCTGGCACACCCATTGACGGCCGTACAACCACTTCCACAGTAGCCTCATCCATCTTTTCATCGCGCAAAGGCACCTCCACTGGACCGAGTACTGATACCATAACGGACGTTTCACCTATCACACGCACGACTACTTAATCGCCAGTGGTCACTTCCCATAGTGCCGTGGACGCGTTACCTAGATCAAATGTCGCCGATCCATCCGCCTGATTCAATACGTTTTGTGATGACGAGAAGCTTCGAAGCTGCGTGTTTTCGGTTCGGCGATCAGGTCTCATTGGGGGGCACAAAAACGGAAGAGGAAGAAAAAGTCTTTCTCAGCTGTCTCTTTTTCCCAGTTCATATCGCTGCATATGGAGGTCGTCAGCATCGCCGAAAGAAGCACTGAGCAATTCGTCAGCTTGTTTTACGAACAATACGATAAGCAGCGTAATGTAAGCGGCAAGATCGAACTATACACTACATGTCACTCATGGGATCGTTGTTGCACATAACATACATAGCTGCTTGGCAACCTGTATCGAGACAACTCTGCCATTTTGTGGAATGGTATGCAATCGAAGGCTGTTGCTATTACAAGATACTCACCCCCACATTCTATAGGCAACGCATTTTCAGGTGCTTCTCAGTTTGCCGAGTTTTTGAGCCGTTTACCAGCCTCACAGCATGAAATCACTGCATACGATTGTCAACCTATCGCTGGTACCGTATCACACATACACACACGCACATGTATCGCAGCGCGCGGACTAATGATCGGTATCCATAGCAACCATGAATCCCCAAGGCACCTGTGGTATCCTCATCAATGTCACCGGCATGGTCAAATATGAAAACAGCCCTGGCAAGCAATCCTTTTCTCAAACATTTATGCTCGTTCCGGATCAAAATCAAGCTACCAACTACTTTATCCAAAGTGACAACTTTCGGTAAGGCTTTTAACAATGACACCCATTGGCTCATTGTATCAACTCATTTATATTGTAATCAGCTTTGTGTAGTAGTAGCAATACCCTGTATATACAAAAGAACTAAAAGCATTTAATGACATGTGTGTGTGTGTTCAGTCTGATGTGCTATGTGATCGCCTAATGATTGCTGTGATCAGCTTTTGAAAGAGATGTCCCTTTTCATGTGTGTGGTAAATTAAATCATTGGCAGTTTCCTTGGTGTTGAAATCATTCATTGATATGCGCTCGATCACGTGCTTTGCTAATGCTGCCAGCTTGCTGCCTTTGTGAAGACCTAATGGCCATCCATTTAAGACAATCCCACTTATTGATCCAATAGCATGAGATGGTCCAAGTGATACCACCATCGATATTTGACATCCACAATAAGGTTGCACTGCTGCCCCTCTAAAAAGATTCTTTACATTGCGTGCGAAATGTACTGCTTGCATATGGGCAGTGAAAAAGAGCTTGGGCTCATCCATGTTATTCACATCACCAATAGCGAAAATGTTGCCATCCCCTGCATCACGTTCAACTTGAAAAAAGGGATCCACACGAACATGCTTCTTGTCATCCAGCCAACTAGCATGAGATTTCTCCAAAAATCGGGTATTGGGTCGAATGCCGGTGCAAGTGTAAGCAAGATCACAATGGATCTCTTGATGCGTTTCGGATGTTTTGAAGATCATAGGTTGATCCTGATTTGGTTGTGCTTTTTCTCCCAAAATCAATTTGACGGAATCAAGGCGATCAAGCACTCGCTTTGCACCATCACCCAATGACCCGCCACTAAGAACAGCGTCCGTAGCACTCACCAATGTCACCTGCTTTTGTGGTGCCCTGCATGCAATCTCCGTGGCAACCTCCACACCAACAGGCCCTGCACCAATACACAAGATACTTTGGGCTGCTTTATATTGATCACGCTTCTCTCGCAAGTAATCCAACCTGTTAGATAATTGCATCAAGTGTGGCTCGTTTGTGGCATCTTCGTTATTATCTTGGCAAGGGATCTTCCATGGGTCATGATAAAATGATCCTGTGCAGATAGCGGCAATGTCGTATGTCAATTCTTGGCCACCCTTAAGAATCACTGGCACAAGAAGAGTAGTACAAAGGAATCGATAAATATCCGCCCTATGCATGATGCATTGTATATACACCCTTACCCGTTTGCTCATTGATATCATCCACCATTCCAAGCACAAAGTTGACTCCATAATTGGATAAAAATGATGGATAATCTGCTGTGATTCGGTGGAAGTGCTTTTGAAATTGATCATCAGTTGGCTCGTACAATACAGAGATAAGGCTCGGTGTATATTCGAAAAATGACTATAGCAGAGCAAAATGCAAGCATTTTCATTAGTGTATCGCTTTATTTCGAGATGCCTTGTTTCTACCTTGCAATCAACGAGCGTCACATCAATGCCATGCTTCTTCTTTTCAGGCCCAAGTTTCATGGCTATAAGAAGCCCAGCAGCTCCACCACCAAGAATGACGACCTTTTTGATATCTGTGGTCGCCATGACAACGGTTGTTGAAAACTCCGTAAAGATGAAAAAGAAAGAGAAAGAAGGATTGTGACTCTGGACACATTTCACATGTATATCACTGCCTTGTGTTGACTATACCCAATCAGGCCATTATTTGTGGTCATTTGATCCTTTTCATTGCTTTACGATTACCCTTGTTGTTGGGAACCTCATACGAGCATGATGGATCAAAATGACAGCGTGATCTCGACTCTATTACTTAGTGCGTTTCTTATGTTCTAAAAACAGAAAACGGTTGCACCAAACATTGCTAGCACGCGTACCGCGTCTTTGTGATGGATGATTGTCGAGAATGCGTTGTCTGGGGAGGGAGATCTACGCTTATTGGTAGTACAAGGGTCCGTGTCATTTGATTTGGAATGTCATTCATAGAACTTTATTCGCTTGCTTATCTCTGTGCTTGTCGTTTTTACATTCATCATGAGCGAGAAGCGAACAGCTTTGTATACTTGATGATTTAGGGATGCTGGGAATGGAAACATGATTACACACGTCACCTTGTTCCTCCCCCAACAATCATTACGAGAACGAGTTCCTTGATTGCTCGATGCAAAACATCACATGGACACGTTAGCCAAGTAATGCAACGGTGATAGCATCGATACTTGGATAAGGAAAAAAGGAGCCCCCTTAGCGTTAAATGAGGTACACGATCATATTTACGCTATTCTTTCATTGTTTGTACATACGTATCTCGTTCTTGACGACGGGTGGTGTTCGCTTTTCAAGTCTCCCTTTTAGAAAGGAGGGTTTGCCTATAGACGAAATGTATTCCCCGCTACTTTGGTTACATGTTCAGACTTGGATAACAAGGAGATGGGATTACAGCTGTGGTAATGAACGTACCATTTTTATAGATACGTTACTATTGCTGCATGGTACATACATAGCTGACACAATGAGTACGTACGTAATGCATGCAATGCATCAATTAACATGCAGGCTGCAGAATTAAAAAGAACGGACGATACATACATTTCTTTTTCGATGGTAAAAGAGACCGATGGTTCACATACGAGGCGTTTGATGATTCCAGTGACTAACATACAATGCGAACCACCAACAGCCCCTTGCCCACGAGCCGGCACACTCAACCCCCGAAAGGATAGATATACCCCGACCAAAGGATATTCAGTGAAACAAGAAAAGAATATCTTGTTGACCCCTGTCGGCAGTAAGCAAAGAAGTTAAATGTGTATGAGTGAGTAGTGTAATCCTCAGGGTCAGCTTTATTTGCTTTGTTCACGTGCATATACATCTCTTTATCCACTATGAAGATGGCTATTCTGCAATCTTTCCAGTTTTATCTCCATATGGACTGGCTTGGGGCAGAGATACCTTATTTTAGGATGCACGCGTGCACCTTGTGTCTCACAACAACGATGGCAAGCTGAGTCTGGGTGGATAAACGATCCAATCGAAAATGAGATTCCATTCAGCTGCGTCACGACTAGTGGGCTCCTTTAAATCCAGCCTTTCGCGTCCGATCTATCCTTTTCCTTCCCTCTCTTTTGAGACTCTTACTTTTTCACACACCACTCAAAACTTAATTACGCCATGGAAGACGAAGTTGCTGCCGTAAGTTGAAAAGTCATCTCTGATGTATTGTCATCTGGGTCCCTGGATGAACACGCGTGCCTCGCTTTCTCTCTCTGATGGGCTAGCGCCATGATGAGCGGGTGCGCGTGTCGTCATCTAGTCCTCATCTGCTGCCAACAAGGTACTCATCTACATACTCTTTCACTATAGCTCGTTATTGATAACGGCTCCGGTATGTGCAAGGCCGGTTTCGCCGGTGATGATGCCCCTCGTGCTGTAAGTATTGGGTTATGAATATGAGTGGGGGGATTTACAAGGTGCCAAGTGTTGACATAAACATCTAGGTTTTCCCCTCCATCGTTGGTCGTCCTCGTCACCAAGGTGTTATGGTTGGCATGGGTCAAAAGGACTCCTATGTTGGTGATGAAGCACAATCCAAGCGTGGTATCCTTACTTTGCGTTATCCCATTGAACACGGTATTGTCACCAACTGGGATGATATGGAGAAGATCTGGCATCACACTTTCTACAATGAGCTCCGTGTTGCCCCCGAGGAACACCCCGTTCTCTTGACTGAGGCTCCTTTGAACCCCAAGTCCAACCGTGAAAAGATGACTCAAATCATGTTTGAGACCTTCAATGCTCCTGCTTTCTATGTTGCCATTCAAGCCGTCTTGTCTCTTTACGCTTCCGGTCGTACCACTGGTATCGTTCTTGACTCTGGTGATGGTGTCACCCACACTGTTCCCATCTATGAAGGTTATGCCCTCCCCCACGCTATCTTGCGTCTTGATATGGCTGGTCGTGACTTGACTGATTACCTCATGCGCATCCTTGCCGAGCGTGGTCACTCTTTCACCACCACTGCTGAGCGTGAAATTGTCCGTGACATCAAGGAGAAGCTTTGCTACGTCGCTTTGGACTTTGAACAAGAAATGCAAACTGCTGCCCAATCCTCGGCCCTTGAGAAGTCCTATGAGCTTCCTGATGGTCAAGTTATCACTGTTGGTAACGAGCGGTATGTATAGCCCCATCTCTCTCTTTTGTTATTAGCTCGATATTGATGCCAACTTTTTCTTCTTTTAGCTTCCGCGCCCCTGAAGCTCTCTTCCAACCCAACCTCTTGGGTCTTGAATCTGCTGGTATCCATGAGACCACCTACAACTCCATCATGAAGTGCGATGTTGATATTCGTAAGGACTTGTACTCCAACATTGTCATGGTATGTAACAAAAAGATGGTCTTTGATATCCTATTTGTACATGTGCTGATTCTTTTCTTTCATCTATAGTCTGGTGGTACTACCATGTATCCTGGTATTGCTGACCGTATGCAAAAGGAGATCACTGCCTTGGCCCCCAGCTCCATGAAGATCAAGATTGTTGCTCCCCCAGAGAGAAAGTACTCTGTTTGGATCGGTGGTTCCATTCTCGCCTCCTTGTCCACTTTCCAACAAATGTGGATCAGCAAGCGTAAGTATTGGAGTGGTTATCAACATGGTCAACATCACAAATACTCATACTTTTTATTCTTTTAGAGGAGTACGACGAATCTGGTCCCTCCATTGTTCACCGCAAGTGCTTCTAAGCATTATGTTAGTCCTCCTATCTATATCCCGCAGCGTACAGAAATCTCGTTTCCAACAAGTCAACAAGCACATAATAAGAATGGTTGCCGTGTGCGATTGGTTACCACTACCTCCTTTTTTTTTACTTTCGTCTCCCAAACAAACTCAAAGCGGACCATCTATATGACTTTTTCTGAGGGGTGGGAGTAGTGACGGGGGAATTGTGCACAATGTCATATAGCTTTTGACGCGATGGTTCATAACCTTGGGATGCTGCTTGCTCAAACCATGACTTGGCTGATTTGATATCTTGGGTGACACCTTGCCCTTGGAGATACCTAATGTGTAAAAGATGGATGGTCATGATATCGTTTGGGATTTTTCTATTGCCTTTGCTTACATTTCACCAATCATGTGTTGTGCATAATGGTTGGGGGATTCTCGATGGGATGCTGCATGTTGATAATGTGTAAATGCCTTGCTATAATCGCGTGAAACTGCCCACCCATTTCGGTATAGATCACCTAGCACTGTTTGACAAAAAGGAATGTCACCAGCTTTAGTGGTGCTACACCATCGGTATGCTTGAGCGTAGTCCTTTTGGATTTTGAAATAAAGACGCGCTGTCTCCTCAATAGCAAGCGCAAAGTCTTGTTGTGCAGCAGCTGTAAGCCATTTGAGTGCCTCTGCCATAGTGGTGGTATTGGACATGGATAGCGATGATGAGAACGCAAGAACACCAAGTAGATATTGACAAAAACGGTTATTGAGCCATTGGGCACCTTGCATAGCATGCTCACGAGCACGTGCAGGCTCACGTGCAGCATAGCAATCGTTCGCCAAGTCAACGTGTGCACGTTTATCACCAAGTTCTATTGCTCGTTTATACCAAGGTATAGCCTTGGATCGATCTCGTAGTGAATAGCTGTAGCCATCATCCCATAGTTTTCCAAGCTCATAGGCTGCTTTGGCATGGCCCAATTGTGCCGCTCTCTGCAAAAGGATCATACCACGTTGTACATCTTGTTTACAACCAACACCTCGAGTTGTCAAAATCCCCGCCAAATAGGCAATGTCAGGTTTCTTTTTTTGCTGTGGATTGTTATTGTCACCAATCATCTCCGTCACTGGTCGATCGTCCGTTGTCAAAATATCGTTGCATGCATACAACGCGTCTGTGATCGACTTGTCGTATAAGCTATATGTCCATAAGTCCGCTTCACGTGCATTTGCTTGGACAACACCGCTGCTGCTGCTTCCACTTTTCTCGTTTTCATTGGTAGTGTAAAGGGTATAAAGCTTGACTTTGGCTTCGATGTTGTCGTATGCTATGGCATGGTGTCGTAAGAACCGCAACGCTTTGAGTGCCAAAGGTGCATAATCGCACGTTTGTACTAGATCCAAAGCTACCGTTAAACGTAACTCGGCTGGTGTTGTGGCAAGAAAATCTTTCATTTGCAAGAACAAGAGTAAAGCGAAATGGAAGCAAGGCGCCTCTCCTTTTTGCTGGAATAAACTCGCTGGAGTAACAGGGGCATAAAACATCCCTCCTTGCTGGATTTTAGGCACAAACGCCGTAGACAGGGGAGAAAAGGATTTGGGTTGCCTTAAGGAACTGCCTCTACTATCAATCAGGCTTCATGGATAACCACTCCCACTCCCATGTACATATAAACATCTCATCACACTCCTCATTCATCCATCGCATCTACGTGGTGGCAATGTCTTTGAATAAATGTCAAGAAGACCCTTTGTGATATCTTAAAATGGAGATACTCATTGTATAATACTGTAATCGATGTAGTTCTCATCTTCTCTTCTTTGTTCAAGATACAATGAATCAATCACCCTTTCACTTTTTCCTTTCTGACGGCATCAAGTGGATGTAACTTACATTCCTCATACAACTTTCTATATTTCGTATCAGTGCCACGCACGACAAGATCCAACTCAAGATTCTATCCTTTGGGTGTGCATTGTGCAAAGGTGGATGGATGGACGTGGGGTATCTATTCATGCGTGTTGGCGAATTATATGCAATTGGATGATGGTGGTAATTGTACATGGTTGACAGGTAGCACAAAGAATGGTGTACTAAGCGATAATGGGATGCATCAAGCACAACGGTCAAAATGACAACGGGTACACTCTTTTGCCACACATTCTAATATCCAATTCCTTCCATCCCAAGTACCAAACCAATATCCATATCCATATCCATATCCATAGGAAACCGTATGTATTGAATCAAGTTGCTACACATAAATAAAAGCTGCTTCTATACAATGGCTATCTGCTGTTCACGTTGAAAAAGGCTGTAAGGCAGGCTGCTGCAAGTAACTTGAAGCAATGGAGTAAAGACCTTGCCAATGGCAGCTGCTGCAATGAATGCTGTTACGGTTGGTTGTGGTAGAGAGGCGTGCAAGAGCGTGTACTGTAATAGAATGACGAGATCATGAACGCTGCTTGCGACAATAGAGTAAAGGCCTACTCGCTATTAGCAGTTGCTGTAATGAACACTGTTACGTTTGGCTGTGGCAGAGAAGCGTGAAAGACGGTGTGTAGTGTCGAGAGACGTGTGCGTTGTAGTAGATTGACAGGAGGGCTGTGCACAGGCCTTGGACTTGCCATTCAGTCGAAGCAATCGGATCAAGAGAGTTGTAGGATTGACATGATGGGTTGAAGTAGGGCAATCGTTTGCAGGTGGTAGTTGTATGTACTTGAATGAGGCGAACAGTTGAGGATGGGAGGAAGAGGGAGTGGAAGAAGTGGAAATTAAATAGGTCGGACACCTCTTGTATAAATGCATGAATCACTGTACATCAATCCTTGATAGTGAGATTGCCCCTCTCAGACCTGAATCTTTCACACAAGATGCTCTTGGACATGCTGATCAACTTCATTCATTTAAAAGTCGCAGACTTCATTGTGAAGATTTGAAATGCGGGGCGATCCAAATGGTGGATGATGGGATCAAAAGAGAGGACGGCCCACCGCCCCGAAGTTGCCCACCTCCAACTTGAAAATTAGTCAGCAGGGTGCTCTCGAGCATGCTGACCAATATTTTCTAATAAAAACTTCATGCTTCATTTGAAAATTTGGAATGGGAGCGTCCAAAAGTTTGAAAGACGGAGACATTCGCAGGGTCTGCGATTCATTAATTTTCATATTCACTGTTCCAGCGTAGCTCGGTCAAATCGGCTCGGATCAAGAAAGTTGAATGATGGAAATGCTCGGCTGGAGCAGGAGAATTGTTCACATGCAGTAGATTTTGCAACAACGCTGATTGTGAGGAAATGGCTGATAGCGCGTAATATATGGACTATCGTGGATAGACCATAAAGTATAATCCATCAATCCTTCCAGTCATGCAAAGTAGCTGTGTTACATAAACACGTCCCTCTGCATCTTTTGCTCTGCCAGGGTCTAGCTGCTCGACAATGAACAAAGATCGCTTTTCATATAGCATCACGCTTACAAACATAAACGTGCCTGTATCTCCAAACTTTACAATGAAACGTGGGGTTTTTAATAGATCAACGTGCTCGTCGGGGTCAAAGGAATCTTGTGTCAAAGTATGAAGTTCATCGTGGGCAATCCCAGATTTCGCATTGTCGCTACCAGCCAAACTGGATCCGGGGCTCAACCTCTTTCGACGACGACCAAAAAATATTTTTTGGGCTGTTTGCGACATTGAACGTGAAACTTTCACACAAGGTGCTGTTGGCCAAGCCGAGCACATTGCTCTAATAAAACCCCCACGTTTCATTGTAGAGTTTGGAGATACAGGCACCTTTATGTTTGTAAGCGTGATGCTATATGAAGAGTGGTCTTTGTTCATTGTGAAGTAGGTGGACCCTGGCAGAGCAAAAGATGCAGAGGGACCTCTTCGTGTAACTCAGCTACTTTGCATGACTGGAAGGATGGAAGGATGATAATGTATACTATTGACAATAGCCCATACATTGCGAGCTAACAGCAATTTCCTCACAATCGGCACTGTTGTCCGCTCTATGACATGTGAGCGATTCTTCTCCTCCAGACATTCATTTCCATGATTCAATTATCTTGATCCGAGCTGATTTGGCTGAGCTACGGTCAAAGAGAGATGACATCGATCCATACATCAGCATACATTCGAATGTCTCAGCTGATTAATCCTTGTTCGACCGTAACTCAACCAAATCGGCTCGGATCAAGCTACTTGAATCATGGAAATTCTCGGCTGGAGCACGAGCATCATTCCCATCACGTGGATTTCGCAACAATGCTGATTGGATAAAAGTGGCTATTAGCTGCCAATGTATGACCTGAAAACGAGGGTTGCGTACCTGTCATGCATGGTCCCTGAAGTCCAAACTTTTTAACCCAGTTACACAAAGAGGTCCCTCTGCATCTTTTGCTCTGCCAGGGTCCACCTACTTCACAATGAACAAAGACCACTCTTCATATAGCATCACGCTTACAAACATAAAGGTGCCTGTATCTCCAAACTCTACAATGAAACGTGGGGGTTTTATTAGAGCAATGTGCTCGGCTTGGC